GGAACCGAAGGAAACTTCCAGCCAGCGCCCGCCAGCCGGAAGCCTGGGCCCTGAGGCCGCGCGGCTGCGAGGAAGTGAGTTCTGCCCGCGGCGGGCGCGAGCGTGGAAGCGGGTTCTCTCCGCGCGACTGAAGGGCGGCAGACGCCACCCCAGAGTTCGTCTCTGTGGCGCGAGGATTCTTTTGAGCCGTTTCTTTCTGAGGGGAAAAAAAGTACACAGGAAAAACTCTAAAAACAGTAGAAGTTACTCTTTTATAAAGGAACTTTACATTAAAGACAGTAGAAATTACTCTTCTATAAAGGGACTTTACATTTCTAAGATGTCTCCATTGTAAGGCTGTCTCCCTCTCTGTACCAGGAAGAGAGACCCAGCAATGAAGGAGGTGCTGACTTAACTCTGCAGAACAATCTTACCCGTTTACAGGTTTTCCCATAACCTCACCTCCCTGGCCTTCCTCACCTCCAACAAGCGTTCTTTTCTCTTTAGCTGAAGGAGGTATTTAAGGTGGTGGCTTGGGCCATTTCAGGGAGTTTTACTCCGTTTTCCTGGCCATGTCCGTGTATATATGAGGGAGCTATGTTATTAAACTTGTGTCTTCCTCTTGTTAATCTGCCTGTAGGCGGGATCTCAGCCACGGAACCCAGGAGGGTAGAGGGGAAATTATTTTTCATCTGCTACGGAAGCTTCCGGATGAGACTGTGGACTGACCGGCGTGTGGAGGGAAGCCGACGACGTGGCTAAGTCTTTCCCAGACTTGAGCATTTACTAACCTGAGTTAATAACTGTGTCTTAGTTTTAGTCACTAAGCCGGTGGCGGCACACAAAATTCAACCGAGCAAATTCTAAAGCTCTTACTGGCGTTCTTCTACGGGATTCATAAAATGTATTCATAAATCCAATCTGGCAGACAGAAGGTGTAGGACTTCCAGGCAGCTATACAAAATGAAAGGCTTTCTAGGCAGAGAGCAGGGAGAACCAGAAAGTTCTACCGGAGGAGCAGGTTGGTCATTGTAAAGGTTGCTTTTCTTTACAGAAAAGGCTGGGGTCCGTCAGGCAGATTATCTAACTAGTAACTAGTGCTGATCGGGTGATTTCTGATGGAAATTTCTGATGGTTTATGATTCCATTCTTTGAGAGAGCTAGAAATGGAATTAAGTGTCAGTTTGGTGATACAAGGCTTAGCCCGATCTCCATCTGGGGCCTATTGTTTTGACAGCAGTGTCAGGCCAGTAGGGAACTAGCACTTCTGTTTACCAACTGTTCGGTCCTTTTCATTGCCGAGTAGAATTCATTTACATGACTACACCACATATTGTAGCTATTCATAGCTTGGGGGGAAGGTATGTAAGGAATCTTTTATTTTTATTTTTTATTTTTTTATTTTCAAAATTGTATTTAAATTCCAGTTAGTTAACACACAGGATAACATTGGTTTCAGGAGTAGAGTTCAGTGATTCATCCTTTACACACAACACCCAGTGCTCATCCCAGCAGGATCCCTCCTGGTACCCATCCCCCATCTAACCGACCCCCCACCTACCTCCCCCAGCTTGGGGAGGGGGAGCTCCTTGCCAAACCCTGAGTTTATTCTCTATCTTTAAGAGTCTCTTGGGGTGCCTGGGTGGCTCAGTCGGTTAAGCGTCCGACTTTGGTTTAGGTCATGATCTCATGGTTGGTGGGTTCGAGCCCTGCGTTAGACTGTGTGCTGACAGCTAGCTTAAAGCCTGGAGCCTGTTTCAGATTCTGTATCTCCCTCTCTCTCTGACCCTCCCCTGCTCATTCTCTCTCTCTTTCTCAGAAATAAGTAAATAAATATTTTTTTTAAAAAAAGAGTATCTTATGGTTTGTTTCCGTCCCTCTTTTCTTCCCACTCCCCCCCACCATATGTTCTTCTGTTTTGTTTCTTAAACTCCACATGAGTGAAATCATTTGGTATTTGTTTTCCTCTGATTGACGTATTTCACTTATTAGCTATTCATCTATTCATGAACATTTAGACAGTTTCCAGATTTGGGCTAATACAAACAGGGCTGCTGTGAACGTTCGTGTTCAAATCTTTGTATGGTGAAGGGTGGTAGAATATCCCATTGCAGAATATGCCACGTTGGCATATTGATTATTTTGAGTAAAGTTACTTGAGGAACAGCTGGTATAAGAACACTCTTGATGGGGGAGCACAGCTGAGGGCAAAGTACATACTGGCACCCCCTCCCCGACCAGATGAACTATTCCTCGGACACTCTTGGCCGCCCACGAACAAAGGAAAAGGGGTTTAAGTGCCTGCTGTGGTGATGGGAGAAACTAAGGCAAATAAAAAATTAAATTCCCTACTGCCTGCAGCCACTGACAAGTCCTTGAAATGGGCAGAGTGACCTCCCTCTAGGAGCTCAGCTGCCTCGATGATGACACTTTGCTGGGGGCAAAGGAGAACCTCAGCTTAACATTATCCCACCCTTGAGGACCCTGTGAGTCTACTTTCCTTTATCTCAACTGCCCCAGGATCCATGCTGGTTATGCTCCTCCAAGCCTGTGGCCGCTGATATGCATCTAAACAGTCTCATGACTGAGGTTTTATTAAATGATAATAAATGGCGTTTCCCTAGCAACACCAGCCCCCCAAGGTCCTGGAAACCTTGCTTCCAAAATTCTTTAGAGACTTACTCCATCCCTGACCCTCTCCCCATCTGCGGGTATATAGTAAGTTACCCGTCACAAGCCCAGTACAGCTCTTCCTGCCCACGGGTCCTGTCCCAGTGCTTTAGTAAAATCACCCTTTTGCACCAAATACATTCTCAAGAATTCTTTCTTGGCCTTTGGCTCTGGACCCCACAAATCCCCCACCACCCCAAACTTTCATCACTCTGACCCTCCTTTTCCCCCCAGAAAGCAGGAACTAAATCTCCCATGTGAGAGGGAAGGGCAGCAGACCCAGAGATGGGACTACAGGGTCAAGGAAGCTGTATGGACAAATCTTGTTACTTCACGAATTTCCTGCCCTAAGCCCAAACTGTCTTGTCAGTGCTTCACAAATGTACTGTTTCTTTGTCTACAAGTATTAAAGCTGCCTGCTTTCCTCATGTGTTTGTCTCACGTTTTTATGGGGTTCCCGCACGTATGAAACTAGATTTGTTTTTCTCCTTTTATTCTGTTTTATGTCAATTTAATCATCAGACCAGCCAAAGAAGCTAGAAAGAAGGAAGGGAAAATCTTTCCGTGCCTACAATGATCATATTGCTTCTCCATAACGATGATGATTTTCTCATGTCGCATGTCTCAGTCATATTCTAAGAGCATGCAAAATCAGTTCAGTTACAGAAAATAGCTCATAACCTAGAATCCCCTGCTCTCCTGGTTCCATTGTGAGGCCATCTGTTACTGGGTCACTTGTAGAGTTATATGGCACCAAGACACCCTGAATAAAATAGTAAAGCAGAAGGAAAGAAACACCAGAGATTAGGCTAAATAGCCAAATATACGTGCAAAATATCACAAGAGGAAACACAGATGGGACAATTTTTTTCAACTCAGGTATCTAAAAACCATTTCACCAAGGGACCAATTCTTCTATTTTTTATTTTTTTAATGTCTTTTATTTATTTCTCAGAGAGAGAGAGAGACCGCATGAGCAAGGGAGGGTCAGAGAGAGAGACACAGAATCTGAAACAGGCCTCAGGCTCTGAGCTAGCCGTCAGCACAGAGCCCGACGCGGGGCTCAAACCCACAAGCCGTGAGATCATGACCTGAGCCGAAGTCAGATGCTCAACCAACTGAGCCACCCAGGCGCCCCACCAACGGACCAATTCTTAAGAATTATTGAAACTAAAAAAAAAAAAAAAAAAAAAAGGGGGCGCCTGGGTGGCTTAGTCGGTTAAGCGTCCGACTTTCGCTTAGGTCATGATCTCGCGGTTCGTGGGTTCGTGCCCCGCGTCGGGCTCTGTGCTGACTGCCTGCTCTGAGCCTGGAGCCTGTTTCAGTCTGTGACTCCCTCTCTCTCTGACCCTCCCCTGCTCAAGCTGTCTCTCTCTCTCCTAGAAATAAATAAAAACATTAAAAAAAAAATAAAAAAAAAAAGAATTATTGAAACTTTATTTATGTATTTGTGAATTTTGTAGTAACTTACGTCAGTGTGGTTTAATTTGTATCTGAAGATTTCTGAGACTAAGTTGACGGGCTTTCATTGTGGTTTTTTTTTATGACAGCTTTTGAAAGAACACTCAAACGGTCTCCCACCCTGCTGCCTGCCCCTCCCTCCTACAAACAGGGAAGAAGGAAAGAAGAAGACAAAAACTTATACAAGATTGAGAAAAAGAGGAATCCGAAAGCCCAGCTCCCTCAAGACTTCCCACATGTCTCTCTCTCTCTTTTTAATTTTTTTAAATGCTTATCTATTTTTGAGACAGAGAGCACGCAATTGGGGGAGTGGCAGAGAGAGAGACACAGAATCTGAAGCAGGTTCCAGGCTGTGAGCCGTCAGCACAGAGCCCGACACGGGGCTTGAACCCATGAACTACGAGATCAAGACCTGATCCGATGTTGGATGCTTAACCAACTGAGCCATCCAAGCGCCCCCTTCCTAAATGTCTCTTCAGTCAGCCAGTGAATCTAATTAAAATTGTTTTAACTTTATATCAGAAATAACCCATATTTTGTAAATCAATAAAATTTAATAGTGTGATGTCAGTATCCACTGGCAGACATAGTCCTCCTTTGAGCACTAAAGCTTTTAAGAAAAAAAAAAAATCCAAATAACTCAACAGAGCGAGCCCTGAGATGCAAGGACGGAAAGAGGACATTTTTTGAGCTGGTGCCTAAGCCTAAGAGCAGAGAGACTACTCCCTTTCTGCCTCTCTGTTCTTTAACCGATGTGTTTTGACAATGGCAGAAAGTATGCCTATCTTTGTCACTATTCAGTATGTGTGCATTATCCAGCTGAACGGGGCTCCAAAAACTTGCCAAACTGCTAGAAGCCACTTTAACTGAGTCTCCTGGTAATTGACAAGGCTGTGCTCATGAAGGATGTGGTACCCATGAAGACTGGCAAGTCCCATGGCCGTCTTGGCATTGTCTCACCTTTTATCTGAAATGACCTGAAAGGGGTAAAAAAAAAAATGTTGTAAGATAGAGGTAGAAAGTATTCATTAAGTTCACAGACAATCTTGCTGGCCACAGTGTGAGAGAAGGTGAAACACACCAAATCTAGAAGAAGTGTCTATCTCAGCAAAGTCCAATATCTACCTCGTTCATGATAACACAGGTCCAAGGAGAGCTGTCCCGGCACGTGGGACACCGGGCGGTGTCAGGACCCAGGCCAGTGCTGGTGAGCTGAGTCCTGGCCACCGGGCGTACAGGTTGCTTGGGCAAGAGGAAGGGGGTTGAGGAGAAGAAAGTCCGTGATGTGCACATGATTGCTATTGTAGGCCTGTTACTCACAGCCTCCTCGGCAGGGCAGACCTGTTGGTTGGCATTCACAAGGGCCAACATTACTCTTTAAATTTTGTTTACTTATTTTTGAGAGAGAGAGAGAGAGTAAGGGAGGGGCAGAGGCAGAGAAAGAGAGACAGACAGAATCTTAAGTGGGCTCCCGGCTCCAATCTGACGCAAGGCTCGAACTCACCAACTGCGAGATCATGACCTGAGCTGAAGTCAGACACTTAACCGACTGAGCCACCCAGGCGCCCCAAGCCAACATTATTCTTACACTCTGAGAGCATCCTGAGTTCATCCATATCACTCTTCCCCTAAACTTGTCAACAAACCTCCCCTTTTGTCCTGTTCAAATCTTTGCATAGCCAGGCAGATCAGTAGCCACACACATGCATCAGTTTAGTTCCATCTTATCATTCTCTTCCCACCATCAGTAAACAATGAGATGCCATTCTCCTCTCTCTCCTGTTGTCTTTCATGGGTGCTCCCGAGTGGGACGTTGTGTTTCTTTGTTCTGATACAGCCTTAGGACTGGTGTCAGCAGTGGTATTAGCTCACATATGTTGAATGCTTACTATATGCAAGGCACTGTTAAGATAGTAATTCATGAGAAGCACTACCAAATCCCCCTTTTGAAATGAGGAAGAAAGTGACAGAAATTAAAGTCATGTGGAAATGCAAAGTTTAAGTGGCAGGGCCTACCTTCAAACCCAGGGAGCCTTTCTCAATCAAGAATTGATAGGAAAGTCCTCATGTTATTAAAACAACAAAAAACATAACTCTGTTTCAGAAGTAGAAATAATTGGGGGCGCCTAGGTGGCTTAGTCGGTTAAGCGTCCGACTTTCGCTTAGGTCATGATCTCGCGGTTCGTGGGTTCGAGCCCCGCGTCGGGCTCTGTGCTGACTGCCAGCTCAGAGCCTGGAGCCTGTTTCAGTCTGTGACTCCCTCTCTCTCTGACCCTCCCCTGCTCACGCTGTCTCTCTCTCTCCTAGAAATAAATAAAAAATATTTAAAAAAAAAAAAAACAAAAAACAGAAGTAGAAATAATTGGAGTGTGAGCACTTGCTCTGACAGTCATTTTCTCCCTTCGGTGCTTGCTCCGGCTGGGCCTTGTGCATACCACGTCCCCTGGACGCTCCAGTGCTGACGTAAACACCCTGGCGTGCAGATCTGATGGTGTACAGGTTAACGGTGGGTCACAAACAATGTGTTCTTATGATCTCCCAGTGTCAGGTGTATAGTATTGCTTCCACAGTGGAGGAGAAGCAGTACATTTGCAAAGACTAGAGAAAATACTAATAATGTGCAAAACAAATTCTTCAGGTATACCATTTCATGTTCTTAAAATTCAAAAACTCTGCTCTAGATTTACGGGCAGAACGCACACGCCTTTACGCAGTGCAGACTCCAACATTTGGGGACAATGTTAGGAAAAGTGCTACTTGAAAATTAAAGCTTAGAGTAAGTCATTCAGATCTATAGTTTGTAAACAGAGTTGTTATGAACTGCATATTTGCCTTGTATCATCCAAACTTGAAAATAGAATTAACAAAATTTATATTAGAATGGAATGAACTTTAACATACCAAAGATAAAGTTTAAGAACAGCCGTGCGCATAGGTATCTATGTAAGGGCTGCTCATCTTTCGGTGTGTCTCTATTAACCCTCTGGAATGGGTGACTTGACTTCAATAACCATTGTAGATTAGCTTACAAAGAAACAAGTGCACAGTAGAAAAACGAAGTATCATTTGATTAGCATAGCTTGAAAAAAGATTCCTTACGAACAGCTGGTTCATCTAACACAATGTTCAGCAAAGTGTCATTCTGCTTTGTGATCTCTGGGGAAGATGTGTCAAATAGTCACAAGTATGTGAGCAACACATATATGCTTATTTGGGGATAAGGTATCTCACAATGTATACTTTTTTAAATGACAATTCTTCTAATCAGGCTGAGGCTGATTAGAAATAGGTTCAAGTGATAATAGTTTAGGGGCGCCTGGGTGGCTCAGTCGGTTAAGCGTCTGATTTTGGCTCCGGTCATGACTTGAGCCCAGCATCGGACTCTGTGCTGACAACTCGGAGCCTGGAGTCTGCTTCGGATTCTGTGTCTCCCTCTCTCTGCTCCTCTCCTGCTTGTGCTGTCTCTCTCTCTCTGTCTCAAAAATAAGTAAACATTAAAAAAAATAATAAATAAGTTTTTCAAGCAAAAGATTAAACTCTCGCCTTATTTATAAGGGACCCAATCCAGGTGCAAATAACTCCACAGATGAAAATTTGATTTCTTTTCCTGATTTGTTGATGACTTAAGCAGTTTAATTTTCTGAGTAATAGGATAAAATGGCTGATTATTTTTCTTGTCTTCACTGCACGGTTTCTATGGGTAAATATAAAGCAACCTATTTAGTAGCGATGCAAATCGATCTGTCCGAGGAACTATACGGAGGCAGTCTCCAAACGCTGGACAAGCTGTTAGAAACTGGAAGAGGAAAGGGAATTTCCAGAAGGGGGCCGCGATTGACGTGGACACCGAACCAAGAGTTGGATTTGAGTCAACAAAGAAGTGTATATTTGACATTGGAACTAAAACATTGTTTTAGACATTATCGCTGTATTAAATTTAGATCCGCTTTAGATAAATTGGGCAATTTGTTTAAATTAAATGCATTTAAAATTACTACCTAAACCCCAAACCAGCCAGACTGGAAGATTCCAAATGCTTTACAGATCATGGCTTTTTGGCTAAGAGACCCAGGATATTGAAGGGTTATACTGTAGACACATTGTTGGGTGACTGGTTCTTATTTATGACAACCTAAGTGACGCGCGGTCTGTTTTTCCTTACTGGTTCCAGACAACGTCAAACAGAAGATTTAAAACACCAACCAAAGGTACTTTAAAATAAAAACTGATTTTCGTTAGAAGCGTCTGGGACAGATGCCATCAAGCTTCTTTGCCTTCACCGAACCCCCAAATAGTCCTGTCTCGTCATGGTAACATTTTCCATTTATATGGGCATAAGGCAGAAGGAAAGCAGCTGCCTAAATGAAAACACAGCATTGGTACTTCTCAGACTGAAAACATCCTTCAGATTGTTTTCTCCCCAACGAACGTTCCAAGAGGAAATAATAAACCTCACTCCTGACAAGTCTAGAAAGCTTAAGAGGCAGAGAAGCAGGAGAGAGGCGTAGAACGTTTACTCTGGGTGCCTGCGTGTGCTCGGCTGGGGGGTGGGGTGGGGGTGGGGCGGGAGGGAGGGTCGGATGCCAGAGCCAACCAGGGCGCCGACAGGAAGGGCGCCAAATTCAAACTGCTGGCGCCAAGGCCGGAACCCGGGCACCAGTCCAACTCCGTTCTCAGACTGGGGAATATTTGAATTTGCTTCGAGCTTAGTTTTCTCGCAGAGCCTTTTGCAAGTAGTTAGTTCCTAAGTAACAGTAACAAGCTCAGAGCGTTGGTTACTTTGCACAGAAGTCCGAGAACTTGGCCAGGGCCCAGTGTTATTTTTGGCGCTTAACTACCCTAATAGGAAAAGCTAGAGATGGTTCAGACTATTTACTGTAACATGTCACAGGGGCCCAGCACAATATAAGCGACAGCTCTCTCTTTGAAAATATGGGTGGCTCTTAAAAGAGCCGTTAGGGTTCAGTTTGCAGCCAACTCACTGTTCACTTGGCGCTGGTGTACTTGGTGACGGCCTTGGTGCCCTCGGACACGGCGTGCTTGGCCAGCTCGCCGGGCAGCAGCAGGCGCACGGCCGTCTGGATCTCCCGGGACGTGATGGTCGAGCGCTTGTTGTAATGCGCCAGGCGCGACGCCTCGCCCGCGATGCGCTCGAAGATGTCGTTGACGAACGAGTTCATGATGCCCATGGCCTTGGACGAGATGCCCGTGTCGGGGTGCACCTGCTTCAGCACCTTGTACACGTAGATGGAATAGCTCTCCTTGCGGCTGCGCTTGCGCTTCTTGCCGTCCTTCTTCTGCGCCTTGGTCACCGCCTTCTTGGAGCCCTTCTTCGGGGCGGGGGCGGACTTGGCGGGCTCGGGCATAACTCCGGGTAACTCAAAAACCTGGCAAGAAAGAAAATAAGTAGTAGGAGAAAAGCGCAATGTGCCCCTTTTATATAGAACCACATATGCAAATAGGGGGTTAATTACAGTCCTGTATCTCATTGGTGTCCATTCAGGGTAACGTCAGAAGTGAGTTCTGCCCAGTCAGAATACAAGGATCCCAAATTTGCATTTCCATTGGTTAAGATGAAGCTTCCATGTTAACCAATGAAAACTTTTGTTTTTCAAGCCCAATAAGGCTTATAAAGACTGCTACCCCCTGAGCCCTGGGCTCGGTAGGTTACTGTGGCTGAAAACGTGAGGTCGTGATGTCCGGACGCGGGAAGCAGGGCGGCAAGGCGCGCGCCAAGGCCAAGACGCGCTCGTCGCGGGCCGGGCTGCAGTTCCCGGTGGGCCGCGTGCACCGCCTGCTGCGCAAGGGCAACTACGCCGAGCGGGTCGGGGCCGGCGCGCCCGTGTACCTGGCGGCCGTGCTCGAGTACCTGACGGCCGAGATCCTGGAGCTGGCGGGCAACGCGGCGCGCGACAACAAGAAGACGCGCATCATCCCGCGCCACCTGCAGCTGGCCATCCGCAACGACGAGGAGCTCAACAAGCTGCTGGGCCGCGTCACCATCGCGCAGGGCGGCGTCCTGCCCAACATCCAGGCCGTGCTGCTGCCCAAGAAGACCGAGAGCCACCACAAGGCCAAGGGCAAGTAGTGATCTATGCGACAACTAGCACCAGCTCGAGGTAGTCGAGTTCAAACCCAAGGCTCTTTTCAGGGCCACCTACATTTTCTGGAAAAGAATGTAACATTCCCTTTAACACTAAGAAACAAGTGAAACGTGGGGAAATTGAGCCACTCCCAACGAATCTCCATCCTGAGTTGAAAGCAGGACACCATAGATTAAAGCCTAACGTACAAAGGGCCATAGATTTTGCCCCCTTGCGGTAATTGGGGACAGGCCTTTTCCATATCTTAGTGGTTTATTTAGCTTTCTCGAGTACTGAAATTTCTCGGTGCAAAAGAGCTGCTCTCCGAGACAAGTGGGCATCGCAGCGAGCAGCCGGCCACGGGCGGCGTCAAGAAGCCGCACCGCTACCGGCCCGGCACGGTGGCCCTGCGCGAGATCCGCCGCTACCAGAAGTCCACCGAGCTGCTCATCCGCAAGCTGCCGTTCCAGCGGCTGGTGCGCGAGATCGCGCAGGACTTCAAGACCGACCTGCGCTTCCAGAGCTCGGCCGTCATGGCGCTGCAGGAGGCGTGCGAGGCCTACCTCGTGGGGCTCTTCGAGGACACCAACCTGTGCGCCATCCACGCCAAGCGCGTCACCATCATGCCCAAGGACATCCAGCTCCCCTGCAGGTCAACGGAGAGCGTCAGGGCCCAGTGTTCTCCCCGTAGGGTCCGCCACATCCGTTCTTCCGAACCACTGCCTTCACCCCACCCTCCGTGTTAGATGAAATGAGTAAAATACTGGGATCACACTGGTAGGTATGACACCATTCTGGAGCCAGAGAAACGTCTCAGGTTTGGGATGAGCCTCGTCTTCAGTGCTGTTGCTTCGAGGTGCACTGTCCCACCTTAAGTTAGTCCAAACATTTCCACAACTATTGCCCTTGAAATGTAAGGTGTTGCTAATCACCCAGGCTGTTCTGCCTTACAGATTTCAAGGTCCATGTGGAGTAAGGAAAATATGAGCGGGGGGCTGTATGGTTCGGCAAAGCAATGCTTCTGATTGAAGGCCTACGGGGAGTGTGGGCTCCTGACAAACCTGGGTCTCTCTGCCAAGCCGACGGCTTAGGTCTGGAAGAAGGTTAATTGATGTGTGTTTCCCTTAACTTTTGTTAAGTAAGGAAAACCCTGCCAATGGTTTTTACTTCCCAGGGCACAACGTTGCCTCCTATTTTCTGTTCACTGAACTCCTTTAACGGATGTCATCTCAAAAAGGGGGGTAAAAGCCTTCTTAGCTCTTTTTCTTAAATGTCACGGACACCTTCGGCAGCCTGGTGACGTTTATGGAAATCCTTCTCTGGATAATATTTGAAGTGTATAAAATGCAAAAATTGCAAGAAGTGTTTATTCCACTTTAACTTCTCCAAGTTAAAAAAAATAAATTTGATCGGCTTGGACCAGTGCTTACATAGTTAACACATTCCGTGATACAGTCTTGATGAGCCTGATAACTGCCGTCCATGGTTAGGTGAGTCAATAACAGTTCAAGAGAGTTTGGTAATTGTTATGAAAAATGAGACCTCTGTGATTTCCAGTGGTTAACAAAGTCACAGGTCCTGAGATTTATGGCCCAAAAATCATAATAAAGGGAAAAGCTAAAGTTGGGTCAGAGGTGAAGTATATTTTCCCCATCCCCAACTCACAGGCCCTCATCAGCACCACCACGGCATCCGCAGGCTCCAGGGTTTCCCCTCGGAGGTATCCGGGCACATGTGCACTCCAGGTTAAAAGCCCCTGCTGTAAAATTTGGCCGAGCTACCCGTTATTTTTCAACCTGATGATGTTTTGGGGTGATGGCGGGGTGGTCCGGAACCGACGGCCAAGAAAGAATTCTTGAACGTGTCATTGGTGAAAAAAAAAAGTGATTTTACTAAAGCACAGGGACAGGACCCGTGGGCAGGAAGAGCTGCGCTGGGGTCCTGACGGGTAACTCACTACGTACCCTCAGGTTGGGAGGGGTCGGGGGTGGAGTAAGTCTCTAAGGAAATTGGAAGCAAAGTTTCCAAGACCTTGAGGGGCTGATGTTGCCTGGGAAACACCATTTATTACCGTTGGTAAAACCTCAGCCACAAGCCCCTTCAGATGTGCATCAGGGGCCACAATTGCCAGCATATACTTGGAGGAGTTGAGATAAAGGAAGTTTCCGAAGGAATTTTTATGTGTTAAAGTAGAATCACAGGACCCTGCGGGATCAGGATAATGTCAAGGGAAGATGCTCTTTTGCCCCAGCGAAGTCATCATCGAGGCAGCTGAGCTTCTAGAGGGAAGTCGCTCTGCAGGTTTCAAGGACTTGTCAACGGCTGTAGGCAGCACGGGAATTTCATTTTTCATTTGCTGTCATTTCCCGCATCACCATGGCAGCACTTATACCCCTTTCCCTTGTTCTTGGGCCGCCGGGAGTGTCCGGGGTACATCACATAGATCCCACGTGGGGGGGGGGGGTTGCTGTAACCTGTACTTTGCCTCATCAAACCTAACTAAAATTTTTCCCGGAAAGTGCCCCTTCCTATCTGGAATTTCTTAACGCTTAAAATCTGCTAATATCTCATATTAATATTCACACCCTTCCATTGTTTCTATTTCTTGTGCTTAAAATATAATTAACCCCTAATCCTAATGTACATATGACTTCTCGGAATCAAAATACGTGCTGGCAACATATCAAACAGTGGTGGGCGCTCAAATGCACACACCCCCCCCAGTAAAATATTTTTGATTTGATGGGATTTTTAGAAGCTGTGTGACCCAAATGATTTGATTCATTATTCAATTGCTCTGTCTTTAACTATGTCTTCCAATTAAAGGGAAAGAAAAATAATTTTTCCTCTACTCTTTCAAGTGTTTGGCTGAGATCCCTGTGATAAAAGACAGTTTTCTCAAGAGAAAAACACACGGAAGTTTATTAATGTTCAACAACAGAAAGTCAACTGACAAAATTTAAAGGTCAGATTGGCTTTTTTCAAGGACTCACGGAGCAGACAGCATCCCACCCAGGGACAGAAAGGAGTTCTGCTGACCTATAGAAAACGAAAGGCCCTTAAAGGTGGAAAAACAGCAGAAAAAGGGAAATAGCAAAGAAAGAGTGCAATGTTTCATCAAGGCCATCCTCCTAAGGGCACTGGCTGGGCCTGCTGGGTCTCTCGCCAGCGCACACTAGCTTACTTGCTCCTTGAGTGGCTCTAGGCTCCATTCCCGGGGTAGGAGACTGATTAGATTAGGCGGTCAGGCTTGGCTTGCTGATGTGGGGTTTTGCACAGATGACTCCATTTGGGGTCTGCTGTGTCCTCTGTAACGTGTCCCTCATGTGTACACGGGGCGGGGGGACACTGAACTCCACAGGTGCCTTAGAACTACAGCTTAAATACCATCTTCAGCTTGTCGGGAAGCAAGAATTCCTGTCCCCTTCAAGGGTCCTTCTAGCTGGACTAAGAATCCCATTGACGTGAGAAAGATTAATAGGAGAAAATCAAAGTTAGCAGCAAGCACGTGGGGAGTCCACACGGACATGGAAGTTCCTGTGACAGCCAGGCCACACAGCAGGTGTGTCATCCTGAACCCAGGAGGAGGCCGCGGGGCTCTGGGACCTGGAAGGGAAGGAATGCACTTCACAGGGCGATCGGTGCAGATGCTGATTAGATGTTTGCCCTGTCCTACGGATGGGCCACTCGGATAAAATGTACCGCCACCAATAACCCTATTCTGGGAAAGACCCGCAATTTAGACTCTTCTGTGTAGTCAATGGCCAGGGTTTCTCTGAGCCCGTGAGGTGTCTTTCCCTCCAGCTCGGGGGCGCATCTGGCAGCGGCTCGCCCTTGGCCCCCACAAGCTGAAGACAAAAGGTGAGTGGGGACGTCAGCCACCGGAAGGTTACCAGGAAACAAGAATAAAGTCGGCCCGGCAGATTTAAGTTGCGGCCTTCGCCACTGGCAAGGGTCTAACGCTGTCTGCTGGTGTGGCTGGGTGAACTGGGGAGGCCCTGAGCCCTAAGGCCTGGACCACGCGCGTGTCAAAGATGTCACAGAAGGCTCTTGGTCTCCTCATGAGAAAGAATTCAAGGGCAGACACAACAAGCAGGTACAAGCAGGCAAGTTTATTAAAGCAGAAGTACACTCGAGATGTGAGAGCAGGTGTGAGAGAGGGAACCAGGGGTGGGGTTGCTTCTGTTTTATTGACAGTTGTTAACAAGGGGGTGGGATATTTATTACTGGGGGGGGGTGTCTTGGAAGCAGGGTTTTGTGCCTTTTCCTCCTCACTTGCTCAGGTTTCCTGTCTTGGCCATCTTGGGCCCCTCCTGCGTGATGGGGCTTCTCAGGGGACTGCAGCGGGGACAGGGCTCTGACCCTCCCCACAGCTGGGCACGGCCTCCTCCCTGCTGGCCTCCAAGCATCCTAATAGAGCCTAACTAAGTGCCTACTGTGACGCTGGAATTAACCTTTGCCCTTCCTGGTAGAGAAGGAAGGAGAGACATCTTGGTAAATCTACTTCCTGTTTTTAGAGATAGAAGAGGAAGACCAAGAACCTTTCTAATCTCTGCTTTATCTCAAATGCCTTCCGCTCAAAATAAACCTTGTGCCAGAGTGGAATATTTGGGGGGGGGGGTCTTCTGTTACCTTTCAATACCTAATGCTAATACTTTGTTAGTATTTGTTAGTACAGTATTAGGTCTGTATTAATAAAAAACCTGAGGGGCACCTGGGTGGCTCAGTCGGGTAACCATTCAACTTCAGCTCGGGTCATAATCTTGCGGATCGGGATTTCAAGCCCCTTGTCAGACTCTGTGCTGGCAGCTCAGAGCTTGGAGCCTGCTTCAGATTCTGGGTCTCCCTCTCCGCCCCTCCCCCACTCACGCTCTGTCTCTCCCTGTGTCTCAAAAATAAATGAAACTAGGGGCACCTGGGTGGCTCAGTGGTTAAACGTCCGACTTCAGCTCAGGTCATGAGCTAACGGTTCGTGGGTTTGAGACCCACATCAGGCTCTGTGCTGACAGCCAGCTCAGAGCCTGGAGACTGTTTCTGGATTCTGTATCTCCTTCTCTCTCTGACTCTCCTGGGCTCACACACTCTCTCTCTCTCTCTCATAAATAAATAAAACATTAAAAAAATAAAAAATAAATGAACCTAACAAAAAGATTTTTTAATTAAAAAAAATAAAAACCCGAAATCTGCGCTGTATTTCTAAGTAATACGCAGAGAATATTTCTAAAAATTGTAAAGCAAACTAAAGCTCTCTCTTTACAATACTTTTAAGGGTTTGTGTGTTTTTTTCCATTTTAAATCTAATGTTCTGGGTTAATGTAATTGGGCGCTTTTTCTTATATTTGTAGATATTTATATCTCCATTTCAGACAGTTTGGATTATCCAATCATTTCAAGTTAGAAAGCCTTGGTGAGGACCAAGTTGGAAAGCCTTCGGTGAGACATTGAGAACACCATGTGGACATGGGGGGAAAGATTAGGAGGGAAAGGGGCCGAGAAGGCAGAAGGAAGGAACAAGTGTCAGTCCTTCCCGCAGCCTGATGACCGGCCCTGCCTTGGCTACATCCGATTTTCCCCTTTCCCTCCATGGCCAGCTTGTCTTCCTAAGGACCGAAATTTTACCCTACCCAGAAACGGTGACTTGTCGCACAAAGGAAACGTTACCCACAGCAGATAAAGAGTTCACCAGGAATCACTTCCAAAGCCACGACTCCCTGAGCAATGGTGAAGGGGTTCCTTTTATTTAGGGTGAGGATGAATGTTTAGAAAAGGGGAGCCTTGCCATCATGTGTAGCGGCGGGTATAAGGTCTCACCTGTGCCTTAAGGAAACACGCCTACACATACATTGCATGTTATATAAATGAGGCTTGTGCTCCTCCTTGGAAATTTCAGTATGACAGTGAAGTAAGGGTCACTGTCAGCCATTCCTTGGGTCGCCCATGGTCCATCTGCACAGGCGTGCGGGGACAGAAGTTCAAACTGGTCTGGGTGATCTAGGGCCCACCAGAGCTCTTCTGGGCAGTGAATGCTTGGGGCTAGTTTCAGTTTTCATTACCGGACACTACGCCCCTCAGGTCTTTTGCCTAAATTAAGACACACGCTGGAAAGGAGCTTAAGAGACAAACGTCAGTACAAGCAGGTGAGCAGTAAAGGTAAAGTTCTGGTGACATTGTCACTCTCCTCCAGTACTGCACCCACTTACCTGCTGGATATCCGTCTGGCAAAGAGTGAGAAGACCAAATTCTCTATCAAAAATTTGGTTACGGTGAACCTTTACAGATTTATCCTGAACATTGGGTCAAACGCAGAAAGACATATATATTCAAGGTGATTGCAACATTGTCTTTGTACCAAATTTCATCAAACCTAAAACACTCACCATTGTAAGCAAAACAGACCATTATGTACCAATAATCTGTTAAAAAAGCAAA